AATGTCCTAAATTTAATGACAAGGATTTAGAGACAGACAAGTTAGCCTTTTTGAACTTCCACAGAGAATTTTTGAATTGTGTTTCCAATCTAGATAGCGATGCGCTGAGATTGGTAGTTCTGAAGAATCATCTCACTGGTTATGCTTTTCAGGTAATAAAACATTTATCATCGTCTGATGAAAATTATGGAGTAGCATTGGAACTGCTTTCCAATGAATTTTTGGACGAGAACTGTATCGTAGACTCGATTGTCTCTTCCTTGTTAGATGTGGACCGTCTGTGTAATAATATGGTTGTGAAGAAATTGCTGACTGATGTGAAGACTCAGGTGTATGAGTTGAAAAACTCATTCGGACTAAATTTTCTGGAGAATGGTACTCCTGGAAATCGCTTGTTAAGTCATATCATATTCAGCAAATTGCCTGCCTTGTTTAGGTCGGAATTAGTACATAAGGTGAATAACAATTATCCTTCATTAGAACAAATTCTAGATAATAGTACAGATATCTTTAGAACTTTAGAATTTTGCAGATATGATTTAAGAAATCGTAAGGTGAATTTTTCTAGAAGAAAGTCCAAATTCAAGCCTTCTTTACCTGAGAAAAGACCCTCCACTTTGGAGAATTTCCATGTAAAAGCTTCCAAGATTAAATACAAATGTTGTTTCTGTAAAAGCAATGATCACTCAGCTCGAGTATGTAAATCTTATCCTACTCACAAGGACAAGTTAAAAAGATGTAGTGAGTTGAAAATTTGTGCTAGGTGCACTAGTTTCCTTCATATCGAAGATATATGTCCTTTTAATGGAAAAGAATCTGTCTTATGTTGGTCTTGGACCTGGATTTTTAGCATTATGTGCCCTACAGCTGTTAAGCCTGTAGTTGCTTCAAACGCATGTTGGTTGACCAGCAGTGCGTCCTTGCTACCAGTAGTTAACATTTCTGTAAATCTGGGTGGTGAAAATGTTACATTTAATTGTCTGTTGGATACGGGTAGTGAGAGATCCTACTTATGCAAGGAATTTGCGAATAAGTATGCTGACAAGTTCTCTCCCATCGCAAGTTTCTCATTAAAACATTCTTAGGTGATCAAGTGAGAAATTTAAAGGAGGTTAGTTTCCGTGTGAATTTTCATGATGAATCAAGGCCTGTTTCTTTTTTGATTGATGAACATTTAGACCTGTCCTTTAAGATGGAAGGACTGGGTGATGTAATTTCTGATTTAAAGAGGAATAATGTGAAGTTGGCTGCTGATTTCTCGGAGATGAGAAATGATGTAATCAGAGTCCATGGTCTAGTAGAAATAGATGTTATAAAAGTTTCTGGGACCCCTACAGCTCACTAATTTTAGAAATGGTTTTGCATTTGAGTCGTCCCAAGGAATGATTTTATTTGGAGACGTTGCCAATTTCAAACCTGTGCAGGTACATTCTGATATGAATTACAATCGTGTTATCGGAGAATTCTCTTCGTGCAATGTCACACATGTTTATTTCGTTTTAGACCCATGGAATAGTTTTGATGAAGCTACAGTTGATAGAAGTATTGAAGAAATGTTTAATCTGGAATCTTTGGGAATAGTTGATGAAACCTGTAGTGATTATGATACGGTGAAAATTAAAGAGTTTTGTTTTTCTATAGAATATAGAGACAACTGTTATTATGTTGGTTTATCTTGGGATTTAGATAAGCTGAATAAGGTGCCATCTAATCATAATGTATCCTTGGCTGTTTTAGATAAGGTGGTAAATAAATTATCTGACAAGGGTTTGTACTCTGATTATTGCAAGGTATTTCTCGATCAGGAGGACGAGGGTATAATAGAGAGAATACATGTACCTCCTTCGGAATTTGCCAAGTATACTTGGATACCACATTGTCCGGTCTATAAAAGTGAATTGCAGTGCACAAGAAAAATAAGGCCTGTGTTTAATTGCTCACTGAGAACAGGTGGAAGGCCCTCTCTTAATGCCTATTCGGGTGTAAATTTGTACACCTACATGTTAGAACTTTTGTTTAAATTCAGGACGAACAATTTTATTCTCTTGGCTGACATTAGGAAAGCGTTTCTAATGATCAAGTTAAAAAATGAATTTGATAAGAACAGATTCTGCTTCTTTCTAAAATTGGAAGATAAGTTGGTGTGTTTCAGATACAACACTCTAATTTTTGGGTTCGTTTCAAGCCCCTTTATCTTGAGCTATATTGTAAGGTATCAAGTAGAGAAACATGCATCTAGTCTGTGTAGAGACATGTTATTAAATAATCCTATGTCGATAATCTGGTTAAGACGCACCAATCCCCCGCTGACTTATTACAATTGTATATCGAAGCTGTTGCTACCATGAAAAAGGGTGGCTTCGAGTTGAAAACTTGTTGCAGCAATAGTGAGTTGGTGTCTAGTCGTATACAGTTAGACAACAATTTCTCCTCTCATGGGATGTCCTATGAGAAGGTCTTGGGTTATTGGTATAATCCTGAGTTAGACGAAATTAAAGTGACTAACGGTAGTGTTGAAAAAGTGGTCTCAACTAAAAGTGATATGTTGTCAGTCAACTCCTCTATATTTGATCCCTTGGGTCTTGTGCTACCTATAACTATCAAGGGAAAGATTATTTTAAGTCAAGTATGGAAGTTGGGTGTCGCCTGGGACCAGGTAATTCCTAGCGATATTTTATCTTTATGGAATAAGTTTCAAAAGAACCTCGTGAACATTGGAGACATCAGTTTTAGTAGGTGTTCGGTTCAAACTGATTCTTCTGTTATTTTGATAATGTTCTGTGACGCTTCGAACCAAGCGTACGGAATTGTAGAATATATGTACCAGCAGGGTAATGCTAGGTTATTTTTTGCGAAAGCAAGAGTTGCTCCATCTGTAAAGAGAACTCTACCTACTTTGAAGTTATTATCTGTTTATCTAGGTATTAAACATGTAACTGTTCTAACAAAGATGTTTCCTGCAATGTTTAAAGAAATTATAATAGCCGTAGACGCACAGGTGGTGCTGTCATGGTTGTTATCAGAAACAATTAACACCAAATGTCAGTTCACAAGAAATCGACTAAAAGATATAAAGTCTATGGTGAGTGAGCTAAGTAATAAAGGTTATGTTATAAGATTTAAGTATGTGAGTACTGGTGAAAACCCAGCAGATTTTGTAACTAGAGGTGTTTCCTTGAGCAAGTTTATAAGGGAAAAGGATTTTTAGTTAAAAGGTCCTGTCTGGTTGCAGAAGGATTATTTGATATGGCCTGAATATAATTTGGATTGTCTTAGTGCAAAGTATCTAGTATTAATGACTGCTTACTCTAGCTGTGAAATAGAATCTAATTCTTCAGCAATAATAAGATTAGAAAGATTCTCCTCTCTACAAAAATTAATTGGTACACTCTCGCTAGTTTTTAAGTTAATTGCCAAGTTAAAGGGAGATAATGATTATGTTGATCATCTCGTGAAATCTAAATTATATTTGATTAAAATAGTTCAGAGTCAGTTCTTCATTGAAGAGAAAAATTTCCTAGAACATAAAGATGAGAATAAAGTTCCTCAGTTAGTAAATAAGTTCAATTTGTTTTTGGATGACGGTATAATACACTGTCATGGTCAAATTGATAATTCTGAATATTTTTCTGATGATGTAGTACATCCTATACTGCTACCTAAAACTTGTCACGTTACGAGTTTGTTTATCATGGATTGTCATGTTAAGTGTAAACACTTGGGCATTGCTGCCACACTTGATAGGTTACGTAATACTGGATTTTGGGTACCTAAGGCTAGACAGGCAGTTAAGACTGTCCTTGCTAGTTGTGTCATTTGTAAAAGGTACAATTCGTTGTCCTTTAGATATCCTAAGGTCACTAACCTACCTAAAAATAGAGTGAATCTTGTTAGACCCTTCTTATATACAGGTATTGATTTTACAGGTCACCTGTGGGTTGTTGATGGTAGTGTAGTTAAGAAAATGTATATATATTTAAATTTTACTTGCTTTAATGTGAGAGCAATACATCTAGAACTATTGCCTGATATGTCTACCATGCTGTTGTGTTAGCTTTCTTTAGATTCTTTAATCAGTTCGGTGTGCCTTCACACATATTCTGATAATGCCTTATCTTTTGTCGCTGGATGTGACTTAGTGAAAAAGGTATTTCTATCTGATGAATTTAGAGGAAATCTCGATACATGTAGTATCAAGCACCTTACTATACCTATGTATTCTGCCCGGTTTGGTGTGATGTGGGAAAGATTAATCAAAACAGTTAAGAATTGTTTATTTAAAGTTATCGGACGTAATAGGTTGGACTATTTCCAACTATTAACTGTGTTGTCTGATATACAGAGGTCTGTCAATGATAGACCTTTGACTTATCGTTGTTCAGATGATTCCAGTTTGGAAGTTATTGCCTCTAGTGCATTCATTCGTTCTTTTCCTGGAAAAACAGTATTCTTGAATTTCGAAGAAGATCCCTTTTCAATTAGTCCCCCTAATAGATCTGATCTGATCGAAAGTTTAAAATATAGGGAATCACTTTTGCATAATTTTAAACTGTTATGGTATGAACAGTATTTGTTGAGTTTAAGAGAATTATCTAATGATTTGTATCAAATTGATTTTGATAACAAAATTAAAGTAGATGATGTTGTTCTAATCAAAAGTTTTGTTAAGCCTAGACCGTATTGGAATCTGGGTAGGGTAGTGAAACTTACTCGTGGTTTCGATGGTTTAATTAGATCTGCCTTAGTCAAGAAAGAAGATACGTTTCAAGAGCATTCGATAAAGCATTTATTTCCGATTGAATTGTCTATATCTCATTCGTTTCAAATAAAACCGAAGAAACATGGTAGTGATTTAATTTGTGAAACAGAGAATGAAGATATTGTTGAAACAACTAGTGAATCTCGGTCTAGACCGGTTAGAACTCTAAAATCAGTTAAGGATAGAAATCCTGACTATCTTTGGGATTAGTTTTTGTTACGGTTTTTTATTTTTTATTCAGAAGAGTGTCAGAAATTTAATTTCTGTATCTATCTTTCTATCTCTCTTACTTTCCTTCCTCCTCTCCTTTTCCCCCTGTGTGCAGTGTAAGAACTGCTGTTGCTGTGTCACGTGGCAAAATCGTGTCTAACGATTGGTCGTACGTGATTTTCCTGCTTGTTTTCGACTAGATTAGAGGAATCTAGTCAGTAGTAGCAGGAAAAGGGCGCCGCAGTGTGAAGACGATAAGTCTTGTCTTGCGATGAAAAGGAAACCTGCTTGAAGATAACCTGTTATTGCTCTGACAAGGAAAAACAGTCATAAAAGACCAGTCAAGAATATTTGTCTAAGAGAATTGAAGATAAAGAACAAGTGTGTTTCGCCATGTGGAAAAAAGCTTATTCTCTAGACAAGTGAAGTCAAGTCTGTTCAAGTAATCAAGTGGATTATTGTTCAGCAACCAAAGAACAAGTCAATAAAGACTTATCTAAAAAATCAGTTAAAGAAATTATTGTAAAGAGAATTTACAATAGAACATTCTCAAGGAAGTCTTCTTTTTGACAATCGGGTTGAAGAGAGAAAAAAAGTCAAAATTAAGCGATTGAAAAGCTACCTTCCTTTGAGGAGTTATTTTGTCCTATTGGTGGACGAAATTTTACGTGAAAAAAAAAGATCTTCTAAGTCGTCTCTAGAAGTTGAATTTGTGTCGCAGAGAAAGTTTGAAAAAACAAGTCTGCATTTATTTTTAACAGGAAGCTTGCTTATTTTCCAAGGAGAGCAACTCAAAAAATATAAAAACCTTTCTGCTTAGCTACTTAAAAAAAAAACTAAAGCTATTTTTTTTTTTTTTTTTTTTTGAACAGTAAGTCTAATTTTTCCCTCTTTTCTGCTATCTCTCTACCTGTTTCACTCTCTCTGAACTGTTGTTGGAGTCCTTTTTAAGGGCTCGCCAAAGGATGTTTTTGGCAGTTATTTTCAAGTTGTACCAGTGAACTTTAACATCAGACTATTTTTTTTTCCCATTTTATTTTTTTTTTTTCCCTCAATAAATTTTATAGCTATTTCAAGTGGTTTTTCCTTCCTTTATCTCGCTTGTTTTTCATGGTTTCAGGTCTCTGTTAACTGCGTTATGCAGGATTCCCGTCATTGGACGTTCAAAGTTTCCCAACCTTTTTTTTGCACCAAGTTTGGCTGTTACTAAGCTAAATTTCGACAACATCTCATCTTAATAATTCGGACAGAAGATTATCAGATTAAAACAAAAAAATATATTAAATATTGATTTTTCAAATGTCTATACAGTTGAAAAAATAGAAAAGAGAGAGAGAGAGAGATTAGTGGGCTTATGGAATAAGAAAATTGTTGGCTATCTCATTTCATTTTTCAGAAGGCAGAGAAGGTTTTCTAAAAAAAAAAAATGAAAAAAAACTAAAAGTCTAAAATGTTTTCTTTCATTGAAAGACACAATGTCCTAAACATTGCTGTTCATTCGTATACCATTCTTTTTTCTCTCTTCCTTTAACGCATACCTACCTCTACAAAAAGTCTCAGATATTTAAACTAAAAAAAAATTAGAACACTGTGTTCACAATTTTTTTTTTGCAATTAAAAGATAAAACCTTTTTATAATTTACAATACTCTGAGCAGTTTTAAAAAAAAGAAAATCTGTATTGATGCCTTGATAGTTAAAAAAAAATAGAGAATGTTTTTATAAATAAATGGTTACTATGTATAAAACATTTTAGCTCAGTTAACAATTTTAGTAGTGTTGTTGTTTACATCAAACAAAATTTTTTTTTTTTTTATATGATTAATTTTTTTTCTTTAAGTGAGAACACATTCACTTACCAGTGTAACATAAAAACTGGATTCATGATTAATTTGTCTTTCCCTTTTTAATAAGTTTTGTATTTGTTTTCTTTCAGGTCCAAGTTGGATCGTCAAGTCAGTCTTGTTACAGATCTCCGGCCACCTGTTGGTTACAGTGAAACAGCAAGCGTTTCAGATAGAGTGAAAGATATTGACCCAGATTTGATTGTGAAAGTAATTTTTTTTTTTCTTTTAAAGCAAACTAAACTGGTGAAACAAATATTTCAACCAATTTTACATGTACAAAAAGTTTTGTACTTATTGATTTAGTATCCTTGTTTCACTTTTGACTTTACCTTATTTTTTTATTCTTTTTTTTTCTTTAAATTTTTTAAATCTTTTTTTTCTTCAAATTAGTACAGGCTGCTCAGTCAATCAATGCTGAATGTTTCCTTATTATTTGTCATCCTTCAAATTCTATCATTTCCAATCTCTTTGTCATCTGTGAAGAGATCTCCCAACATTTATTGGCATTTAGGAGATTAGAGCTGACATAGTAGTAGCTGAGTAATTTTGGCCTGTTGAAGTGTAATTTGTTGCAAAAATGCTCAACAAGTGGAATTGACATAATTTTCAATAAACAATAAGAAAAGAACAAGGTAATATACTAAGCAAACAATATATATATATATATATATATATATATATAGTAGGTATCTACATGAGATCGCTAAAAAAAAAAGCGCATAGTCTGATGAAAAAGATGTCAAACTTGACGAAAATGAAAAGCAAATTTCAAGTGTGTGAAGATATTTATTGAAAGTGATGGAAGATTTTATTGACAATTTGAATTATCCTATGCAGCTTGAATTTGGTTATATGCTTCTGCTATGGCTAATATATCTGGTACATGCCATATTCTTTCATCATTTGAAATGGGCATTATTATCCCACCTAAAATTGATGGTTCTTCATCAGAATCACTACTTGAATTCTCATCAAAATGAACATTTTTATTCTCCAATTGCTTTGGGGATGAATTAGGTTTTCAAGTCTTCTCCTTTGATAGCTAAAATTCTTTTTGCTGTTGTCAAGATTTGTTGAACTTGTTTGGTAAATCTTACCAGTTCCATTTTGATATCAGAAAAGAGTTTGTAGAACCAAGCAAAAACCTGAAAGTAAAATTTTTTACAATTCTTGTATCACTAAAGAAATAGCAAAAAAGAAATACTTAAAATATTTTATCAACATTGACAATTTTTTAAAAAACTTTTCTCTCAACCTATGAGCTCTGCTCAATTTGTTTGCTTAAAATCATGAAGGTAACAGAAGTTGAACTCAAAATAGACAAGAGCTCATCAGAATTATAAAAATGACTTGGTGTGGTACTGCAGAGAAAATAAGCTCCCATTCCCAATTTTCATTAACTTACATCGCTATAACATTTGTTACTTTCATCAAACAGGGTTTTTAACTGCATCAGCAACTCTTTAGTACATTGCATGAAATTTGGGGGTCTTCTTTGGCCTGCCTATTCTAATTACAACTAAACAACTTAGAGCATTCAATTGGTTATCCACTAAATAGAAAATTTAATGTTCAAAGTAAATTTATTAATTACCAAGGAAGGGGTTATCTGTAAAAACAAAATGTTTTAAATTCATGGGAATTTGTTTATATTTAGCTATTGCAATTAAAAATTATCCTCACTCAATAGTTATAAAGACTAAAAACTTATGAAAAATGATCAAAATGAATTTTTTAAAAAATGTCATTAATTTTATGGACACATGAGAGCACAATAATGCAACTAAGTTTTGGCTTGTGTGTGTTATATATATATATTCATGACAAAAGTATTATGAAGCCAAAAATGCTCGCAGTTAATGTAATACCGAGAGAAAAGACATTTATTTAAGGCAAGCAGTCTTTGCAATAAAGTGCTCACTATCAAAGATAGAGCATAATTAACATTAATATCAAAATGTTTGTCACTTAGTTGACTGATGTTAGCTTTGGCATCACAAATCCAGAGTTCTGTAGGTGGAGCCATCCATCCACTCCTCAGGTGATCAGTAAATTACTATAAATTGCTGATATCCGTAAGGAGTGGATGGGGAGATATATATATATATATATATATATATATATATAAGGGAACATTGAAGTCAACAGTTAGAGGTGACAGGCTGTTTCATGCTCGACACAATTTTCAGTCCTGACGATTGCGTCTAGCATGAAACAGCCTGTCGCCTCTAAATACTGACTTCAATGTTCACATTAATATATTTACACATGCTCTATCTCTGATATATATATATATATATTTAACAAACATCTTTAACTTAATCACTCTATGAGCTAACTTTGAGAGGAAAAGAAACCTACATTTTCAAAATTATACACTACAGTATTCCGATTTTAATTTCTTATGGATTCATGTGGCAGAACAATAGTTCAACTGGAAAATACTTTTTTATCTTCAGAGTAATAAAAATGAATAAATTTTTAATTTGATCACCAAAATAGGACCTAGAAAAATACTAAATAGAGAAACCCGATATTTTAAAAATGCATGTATGTACTTTTTTTATTTTTATTTTTTTTTAATGGTATCTCATGGACACAAAATAATTAAACTGAAAAATATTTTAAAATATATCTAATTTAATAAATTTCATGCATGGGGTATTAGGAATAATGAGAATTTCTAAGTGAATGAAAAACTGGGTTTACATATTAAAATTACAACTACATGTTGACAATGTAGTTAGTAGTTTGTTGGTTTTTTTTGCGGGACAACATGGGCACAAAATAATTAGATGGAAAAATATTTTAAAATGTGTAATTATAAAAAATGTAAATAAATGTCTGTTTTAATTTAATAACTGAGACCCTTATGAAACAAACTAAATTAATAAAAGAAACGGATTGCCATTTTCTTTTTCTCTCTCTTGTTTTTTTTTTTTTTTTTTTACATATTTTTAAATTTGAAAATTTCTAGTCTATATATATATATATATATATATATATATATATAAATGCTCAATTTTGTTCTCAAAAATTAGAAAAATTATAAAACTCTCAACCATGAAACATAATAAATATTGAAGAAAGAAAGGATGCAATTGTAATTACTGCCATCATGAAAATTCAATACATTTGATTTTTTTCAAATGAATCAATATGCAAAAGTTAAAGAATGAAATGTCTATTAACTTTATTTTGAATAATTATATTTAGTTTGGATTCTTATTGTTTTGTTTTTATGAAGAAATGACATGGTTATCACATTTGAGCAGTATAGTAGTAGTAGTAAACAGTTTGAACAAAACACAATAAATAAATAACTTTTATAAAAATTTAAGATAAATATAAAAAACAATGATTTCAATTCACCTAGAAAACTGTGAAATGTTTATTATGGAACTGACGTAGCTTCTTTGCTGATGTTCAACCAGAGGACAAATTTCAATGCGCTGCTTCCAACATTTAATCATAAAATGACAGAAACAAACCCTATTTTTGATATGGATGTTATCAAGTTGTGTTGGCAGATTAATATTACATCTATTAATTATGAAAGACAAAAACTTGCTCTACACAAAGGTATAAATTACATGTTTTCAAGAATTAAATTTCTTTGGTATTTTTTTTTTCATTAGAGTTTTCAATCTTTTAGGAAAAATAACTTTAAATTCTATATTAAGCCCATTACGTTGAAGAACAACCTTTTTTCTGTAAGATAGAACTATTTTTAAAACCTATGAATTAAAAATTTGATTCATACAGAAGTTAAAAAAACATTACCAAAAATTCTTTGGTTGAAAATAGTGAAAAAATTGTATTTGTCATTAAAATAGTGACATACTTCAAAGAAAGCTGCAATAAAAACTAATTATCATACAAGAAAAAGAAGAATATCATTATAAAGAGGAAAGATTAAATTTTATTTACATACTAATTTTATAAATATAACCTCAGAAAGAGTCGAGATATCATAAGTAAAAATGTAAGAAAATTTTATTGCTTTTACCCATTTTTGCAGCATAAACAGGCTAGTGTGGGATACCTTATATATATAGGTCAGTGCCATTAAGCCATGCACTAATAAGCCACAATGTTGCTTAAGATGTGCATGTGTGATGGACCACAAAATCTTTTGTTCATGTTCATATATGTTCATATTAGAATCATAATCATCAGTGGATCCCAATTTGAAACAAATTCAAACTTGATTCTAACACTTTAAAGTCTGATTTTTTTTTTTCTAAATTGAGTTTTAATACCTTCAGTATATCCATATTTTCACAGGCATTTACTATTATTTAGGCTTTGGCATTTCATACTCCCAATTTTGTAGTAGTTTGGATTAGCACTTTACAGACATTTTGATTGTGAAATATCCAACTTACAACCTTTATCCCAACTTAAAAATTTCACATATTTACTCAACTGAATTTGCTTTAATATCAATAATGTGCTTTTCCAAATAATTTATATAATCTATAGAGAAGACCTATTTTAAATCCTGCTTTAATGGAGGCCATCATTGCAGCCAAAGTCTCTAAAGAGATGGGTGTATCAGAATCTACATTGAAAGTTTAGATCAAAAATAAAGAAAAGCTACAAAGTTTTTTTTAGATGAGTTAGACTAAGGAGGTTTGAAGAGGAAAAGGGCCAGAACTTCCAGGGATCCTGATCTTGACAAGGCAACATTTTAACATGTTCTGTCAAGCTAGAAATAATGGGATACCCATGTCAGGACCCATTATACAAGCCTAGACTGAGAAAATGCATCAACAACTTCATGGTAAAAATGCAGATCCTGAATTCAGAGTATATAGCGTATGTAATGTTTTTATTCAAAATCTTAATAAACCTATAAAAAAATTAATTTTATTTTTTCCTTGTTAAAATATTAAAATCTTGTGCGTACAAGATTTCCACTATCTTTTGCTGTCATCAATGATGGATCTGTTGATATGGCGCTTTATAATTGGAATCATTTTAGGCCGTCTTTCAAATTTATTCACATTGGCACAAATTTTTATGTAAAAATTAAAGGATAGTTTTAATAAATGTTTTTCAAAACTGCCAATATTCAACTTTTAGTATTGAATATGCATTTTGCATGCTTAGCCACTGTGTTACCCATTTTCGTGGATAACCCTATGGACTTGACAAGCTTTGTTTTGGTGGTCTAAGCCGGCAATCCTGATATTGCAGCTGACTTTTGATCTAAATAGCAGACCATCTAAACTATGGATAGAAGTTTTGGACCCCAACTACCGCAGTTTATCTGCACCAACCAGTATATATAATGTGCAACTCAAAACTAATGCAAAGGAACAGTAATAAAGCAAAAAAGTTCACAAAGTAAGAATGGTATTAACATGCAAATTGGATACAGTTAAGTGATTGTAGCATTCTGATTTCAAGACAAGAAAGAACGAAAATACGGCAGATGAGACCGAGAAGTGGTTCATATTTATTGGTGAGGAAGAAATCCCAGCATGCATTTGTAGGATTTGTCTATAAATCCTCCTCTCTATGGGGGTGGGGGAATGAGTGCACTCATTCATTTGATTGAAGTGAGGTGTTGGTTCAAATCCCTGGAATGACTGCTAAAAATATACCCCTCTGTAAATTTATAACAAATCCTACAGATGCATGCTGAGATTGGTATCAACTGTATAGTTTAGCACTTCTTTATTTCTAAAGGCATTTTCATATCCCTTCATATTTTGGTTAGTTTCTGAAAGGCATCTTTTGCTATTCCTGCATGTGGTTATTGTAGACTCAACCTCCTTATCTCATTGGCTGCAAATCTTAGCCAATCATTAAAATGGTAATTCTTAACATCATCATTCTATTTTAGGTGCCTCTATGTTTACAAGATCAAGAAAACGTGATTTTTTTTTTATGTGAGCTGAAATATGAATAATTGTTTTTACAGCACTTTTCCACAGTTCTTAAAATAAAAGGTAGAGATGTAAGCCTATTTAAGTTAATATTTAATTTATTCTAATAATAATTTAATAATAAACTTAATTTATTTGGTCAGCTCACATGCACACTTTTAGATATTTTCTGACTCAACTTCTCTTGATTCAATGATATTGTTTTCTAAACAATGAAAAGTTAAATCATACCTGCATTCTCTCTTCTTGATTATATTGTTGGTAATTTAAAAGAAATCTGTTGCAAGTAATCTATAACATCTATTATGAACGATCAATTTATATGTGGATAGTGAACAAGTTAAGTGAACAGGTAAAAATAGAGAAAGAAAGGATTTATTAAAAATGATTATTCAGCAAAACAATTCTAACAGAACAGGAAGATTTATCAGGATTTATTATCAGTAAATATAATCTTAACAGCATACAGTATGTAGGTGACTGTGTTGATGGAAGACACAGAAAGAAAACTAAAAACTGTTAAACAAGATAGTAGGGGAAAGCATGAAAAAAAGGACTAACTATTAATTGTGATTATAGAATGCCTGGTTGTCAGCAAAAGAGACAGCCAAAGTTATGAGCTACATATTGGGAACATCAAACTCACACAGCTGCAAAAATTTGACTAGGTAGTTCAGTAACATGACGGAAAGTGTTAAAGAATTCAAAAGGCAAAAGATGCCTTTCAGAAACTAAGCAAAGTATAAAGGAAAAAGAAAATGCCTTTAGAATAAAAAAAATTGCTTAACTGCTATGTCAGATTTAAATGTTGGGTAATCGCTTCACAGATGAAGAAGAGACTTGAAGCAATTGTGGAAAGCAGAGTAAGGATAAAAGGGGGAAAATTTATAGATAGAAAGTATATATTGAAAGGACATAGCATCTAAAAATAAGAATGCAAGTGATTTGGCAGATAGTTTTGTGTTGCTATCATTTGATTTTCTTTGGCTTTCGTGTTGCATTTTAGCGATCCTGGGATGTTGCCCTTGGTCCTGTCAAGCAGGTGCCCATGAATATAATTATTATGTGGATGGCTGGTAATTCCATTTCTATCTTCCCCATCATGATGGTTGGCATGATGTTCTTTCGACCCATCCAGGCTCTCATCAGTATACAAAACAGTGAGTATTGTTCTTGACCCAACGCCTACCGCCACAACACTTGACCTTGCTATTGTTTCCCTTGCTCTACCATTATATTTTTTTCTTCTCTCTCTTTTCATTCACTGCTCTACCTTTGCTTCCAAGTATTTTCTTATTTTAACTTCCAATAATCTTCATCAGTCTCATGACTGGGTGTGGTCATAGAGTTACAGCTGAGCACCTGACCAGTTCCCTCCAAACATCTGGTTGAAAGCCAGAGAGATATTCATTCATGTATAGTGTTTCTTTGGTGTGTTGTTTCATTGTGTTATGCTAGGCAATTTTTCTCTCCAGAGTCTATCCTACACATCTATAAGTCTACCTACTATTGCTTAGAATATTGCTACCATATATGGTCTGGTGTTCCTGCTACATATTTGGAGATTCATGATAAAGTCTCAAGAACAATCAACACTATTATTAGTCCTGACATTTTGGCTTCAGTCACTTTTCCATCGCTGTAAAGTTGCTTCCATATGCCTTTTCTACAAATATTTTCATGCTAGTTGTTCAGGTGAGCTCTTTGCTATGGTACCTAGACTTAATGAATTTAAATACAATACTAGATTGGCAACAAGGTCTCATCAATTTACAGTTGGCTGGATGTCAACATAAATTCTATGCTAACAGTTTCTTTTATCACACTTCTTGCTTGTGGAACTCTCTTCTGGTTCCATGCTCTCTAGTCAGCTTTAATCTTCAAAAATTGAAATGTTGTATTCAATGATTATCTACTGTCTTTCTGATTACTCTTCTATTGCTCTTGCTCCTTAATAATCCTTTTTTATTTTCTAATTCCTTCATACCCAGTAATTCTTTGTGTTTTGGTGTTTTTACTGTCTTGCTTGGGCTGTATCTGATTAAAAAGAAAAAAGTAGACCAAGCAGAGCCTATGTCCTCCAACATGAAGGCTCACTTAGTTATGGATATATGTGGTTTGTTGATTCTATCAGTGGAGAGTCCTTCAACTGAGTCCTGGACACTGACTTCAATTTAGGAAGCTCTTCTCTCAGCAATGCCATGTCATTATTGAAATGTCTGTATGTTTAGCTATGGAGACCAGTTTATCCCATTGTGCTCAATGGTCATTGACCATACAACTATACATTTTTGAAAAATAATATTACCAGCTATACGTTTTTGAAAAATAATATTACCAGCTATACGTTTTTGAAAAAATAAGCAATATATTTTTTTTTTTTTTTTAATATATATTACCAGCTAAACATTTTTGAAAAAAAAAAAGTTACCAGTGATACATATTTGAAAGAAAATTATTACCAGAAATAGATTTTTTGAAGGAAAAAATTTACCAGAAATAGTTTTTCTGAAGAAAAAATATTACCAGAAATAGATTTTAAAAAAAAATATATTACCAACAAAAAAAAAATTTTTTTGGCATTAAATGACCATTTGAGGTTGATAGGCTGTAAAACCAAGACAAACTAAGCCAAACCAGGCTTCAGATAAGAATAAGAAGCGTCAGGCTGCAACTTTAGATATCTCAAAGGTGTTTTACAGAGGGGTTTGGCATGCTAGCCATTTTTCACAAGCTCAAGTGCTATAGTGTCTCTGGCTGAATATTTGTCCTGATACAGTCATTTTTAACAAATTATGTAATTGTGTTGAATGACCATGTGGGGATCCCCCATGACTCTACCCTGCTTATTTATAAATCTACTATTTGCCCATACATTGCTACTGTATCTGTCATGATACTCTTGCTATATGTCACAAGATTCTCGAGAAAATCCAAAGAAAGCTGTTAATGTTATTGGTCCTGGCCTGGCATCTCGACTTTAGTCACTTTCCCACCAATGTAAGATGGCTTCCCTCTGTCTTTCTACAAATATTTCTCTGGCAATTGTTCTGAAGATCTCTCCTCCATAGTGCCTTGACTCCATGAATATAACTGTACGACTACATTGACAACTAGGTTTCATTGTTTTACTGTTGAAATAACTAAATGTAACCGTAAATTCTATTCTAATAATTTCTTTTCTTGATTGTGGAATTTTCTTTCAGGTTTTTGCCACCTATGTTCTTCAAGAATTTAAATTCACTGTCAATCACCATCTTTTCTCTTTCTGAATCCTGTTCTTTTATTGTCCTTTCTCTTCACTAAAGTCTTGTCACTCACTTTCCCTCCCAGTAATCCCTTGCATCTTGGTGGTATTATTGCTTTGCTTAGGGTGGTGGTGGTGGGGGGAGGGTGAGATGAGATGTGAATAAGCATCAAAATATAATTCTTATTCATTGAATACTGATTATCATGTCTTTAAGTTATGCTTTAAATCTAGTAGATGAAGTATTTTTCAAATGGATCCTACTGATATAAACGATCTTGTCTTTGTATTCATCATAATTTCCTGTAATTTTTCTTTGTTTCAGCCTTTAAATTGATTGAAGGTTACCAAGGTCCTCTGCAGAAAATTGTCTACCTGATAGGCAATGTCATCTGCTTAGCATTAGCTGTGTACAAGTGTCAGGTTATGGGCTTATTGCCTACGCAACCATCTGACTGGTTGGCTTTTGTGGAGCCCCAAAAAGTAAGTTCAGATTTGAGTTGGAAATTTTTTAAATTTTTAGGATGAGAGCAGGTCAAATTTTTCCTTGTGAATAATTTTTTTTTTGTGTTAGAACTTTTTGAAGTTGAAAAAATAATTTTTGTATCATTTAATGTTTATTACCCAACATTTTATAAAGGCTAAAAGTTTCTATGGATATTCAAAACAATCTACAAATGGGTTTTATCTGAAATGTTAAATTTTCTTAAGAACTGCTTTGCATTTTCATAAAGATTATTGATTTTTTTATCTTTTGAGCATGTAGAATATTATTTCTTATTCGTTGGGAGATTTTGATTGTTACAAAGCTTTTTTTTTATGCTAGAACTGTTTAGACATTGAAATTGCCTTCATATTAATGCAATGTAAACTTGTAATTAAAACCCCAAAAATGCAGAATGTTCTACTTGAGATAATCACAATACTTGTTATTGTTAATCAATGAATGCTTTTTTTATTGGATATTTGATTTCTACTATAAATATGTGAATCAGTCATGGTCGTAGTAACAAACTCACATAGGAAGACTTCATGCTTTTGTTATTGACAGCAAAACAAGGTAATCATTTATAAGAAGAAACAATTTCACCAATTTTTGATAAATACATAACAGATTGAAACAAGAATCATGTGTATGACTTGTGAAGATTACCAGAATAGCTAATAGACTTGTGCAAGAAAACTATCCAGTTGTTACAGTAATCTATATTTAATATTTATGTGCATATATATATATATATATATATATATATATGTGTGTGTGTATGTGTGTATGTATTTAGGCAGCATTTTTTCATTGATACATGTTTCTTTAAATAATATAGACAAGTCTTGTCTATTTTATATAAAGCTTAATAACATCAACACTTGGAATTATAAATGTAGCCTTGTGAAAAGGCAAACTGAAATAACCAAGGAAAAATTGAACACCCTTAACAACAACAAACAAGACATCTACGATAAACTAAAAGGAATCATGAGCTGCAAAATGTAATTTTGCTTCCAGCGTCTTATATGCAAGAGTTTTTCATTGCTTGGAAATCTTCCATGTAAACAGAAACAGACTATCATCACTGTTTTGTCCGTGTATTGCTTAATATATTGTAATGTAATTGTAATCTTTGATAATGGCTTATGTAACTTTTAAAGCTTAGATAAAGTTAAAAAATATGTATCAATATTGTGATTTTCTTTCTTCATTTAATGATAATGTTATTAAATTATCATAGGTACCTCCACGAGATCGCTAAAAAAAAGAGTATAGCATGATGAAAAAAGACGCCAAACTTGACGAAAAAAAATTTTATCGTCTAAATGTTTGTTATTATTAAGAGGAAAGATCAAAGTATTTTTTGGGTATTTTTTTTTTTTTTTTAATCGTTCCTAGCATGTCCGAAATTTTCGTTAAAAATCTAGTTTTTTTTTTTTTTTGAGTCAGCAAAATTGACCATTTTTCCATTTTAAAAAAAAATGGAAATCTTTTGAAATTCCCTTAAATATCAATTATCATTTTTTCAAAACTTATTTTAAGAAAATCAGAAATTATAATGTTTATTTAAAATATTTTGAACCAAACTTAACTTTGCTTTGGCCGAAAAAGATGTAATTTGAAAATAAAACAAAGCAGGTCATAAACTTTCGCGTCTCTTGACAGGTGATGAATGACATATTTATGAATTCCATGAGGATAATTTGTTCTACGGAAGGAGAAAAAGTGAAATAATTTACATTTAAGTGAACAAATTATTTACCTCGTTATTTTTAAGGAAAACTTTCAGCGCTCTAATTTTTTTTTTTTTTTTTTTTTTTTTTGTACTTTTTCACCTTTACGTTTATGATGCTTTATGGAAAATATATTCCAAAGAAATTAAAATAAGACTGTTAAGAGTGACATTAAATTTCATATTTCCTAAAAAGGTATCTAATTAATTTATAGGTACCTTTCTTATGAAATTTTATCAGAACTGTACATAAAATACTATAATTTTATGTACATTTATTACATTTTACTGTTATTTGTATTTGCATTCATTTTATTATTAATTTTGATATTTCATTTATGGAAAAATGTCATAACTGAGATTAATATAAAAATAAGATCATATAAATTTCATAAGATGATACTGATACTTGTAGGTACCCTTCTCAGTTGAAATTGAAAAATCAAATTAACTTCTCCACACGTGTTTCAAAAAAAGTAGGCCTTAACAGCGGAGAACAATGCTTAACTCAAATAACGCAACTTAATTATATTCTGGTTGGTCTTCCGTACTTTATAATTACAGCCCGATTATAAACACAAAATTACATTTTTTAATTACTGTGGATCTTCTGATTAGTCAAAATGATACAATTTACAACGCGCTAAAAAAAAAAAATCTATCTCATAAGGACACTTAGGAAAGCCGATGCGGCTTTTAACTAATTTTATAATATTTTAACAACTTAAATGTAAAATCTATTATAATTAAAGAAATAACAAATAATTGTATTAAAAATTCATTTTTCATCAAAAAAAATTTTTTGCTTTCAGAAAATATTGTCCATATTCATAAAAACAACTAAAAGCAAATAAAAGCATTTGAAATTAAATAATATCTTTGTTTTATTGAGTTTTGTATGTTACAATTCAGAGCTGATTTTCAGGTACTGGGATCCAATTAAAAAAAAAAAAAAACATGATTTGCATTCCTCAAAGCCTTGTGCTTTTAATTATTGTAATCACTAAACCCGATGCGATCAAATTTCTAGCGGTTTCATAAAATTAGTTGTTGGAGGGGGGGTAATAAATATTTAAAAAAATATTTCTACCATGACTTTAATAAAAAAAAAAAACATTTTATAATAATTTCGATCATCTGTGAATAGTTCCTGAAAGTTTCATTAACATCCAACAATTATTTTTATTTTTGCAAGATTTTTCAAATTAATGTGTGTCATACCAAAAAAAAAAAAAAAAAAATTGTCTATGTTATTTACTAGTCCCGCTGATACAAATAGAAACAAGGTTTTTTAATCAAAATTTAGAATGTTCTAAAAAGAAGGAAAAATATTTTCAAATAATTAAAAAAAAAACTTTGGTCTTTCCTCTTAATAATAACATAAGCATTTAGACAATAAAATTTTGTTTTCGGCAAGGTTGGCGTCTTTTTCATCAAGCTATGCTCTTTTTTTTAGCAATTTTGTGGAGGTACCTAGCTTATCAGATGATATGAAAAGAATTTACATAAAATAAATAGACAACACTTGTCTATATTATTTAATGAAACATGTATCAATATATATATATATATATATATATATATATATATATATATATATATATATACATAAAAAGTATGTGTGTAACGTTAGCACTTTGTTTTATTCTGTTAATTAGATATTATCTTAATTTTCCGCTAGACTGCCACTGTTAAAAAACTAGGAAGTGAACATTGCCACTTCTAGAATTAAACAAATTTAATTGAGAAACTCTTTTTGGTTCCTTATAAAGAAAACATTGTACATAATGTCCAACATGATTAACAAACTAACATTTTCAATATTTCTGCATAATGCATTGTTTTTTGTTACATCAGACTTTCTAGAATGTTACACTATTGCCTTTCACTAGCAAATGAAAAATCTTTTTCTATAAATTATTAATATATAAAATTTCAAAGAAGTTTATAAAATCTAAAATGAGAGCTTAGTTTTGGTCTTTGAAATAAAGAATAAAATTAATAGAAAGCCAAAGCGAGTCTCACACAATGACACCTTGGCATTTTATGAAAAAAACATTTATCAATGTTTCATACAAAATATAATGTCAACATTTGTCATTGTTTAAATTGGTGAACAAAAAAATCATCTAAATCAATAAAAAAATAAAAAATTTTTGTTGAATGTTAAGAATTTTAAAAATGTTTCTTTGATGGCATATTATAAAGACACACCCCAATTTCAGGGCAAATCATTTTTCCAGTAATTAATAAAAAAAAGTTTTAGTTTATAGTACATCCTTGACTATATTTATGAGGTATTATTTTGGCTAAGCAAGCTTTTATTACAATTAAATGAAAAAATAATAGGAAGAAAAAACAACATAAATTATGAAAAAATTAATTATATCCAAAAAAAGTGAAACAAAATAAAAAATCAAGCAATTATTACAATTGAGCAAAACAGTAGAGTTACCACCTTTAAAATTTTATTCATGTTCATTCCATAAAAAATCGTTGTTTTTTGTTAAAAATATATACTCATTTTTTTTTATTTGCTATCACTGTCATTAAATAATGCGTCATCTTCCATTCCTATGAGAGCATTGCTAATGCCACATTTTTTAAAAATTTCAGAACAATTTCTGGTCTAATATTCTCCCAAGCTTTTTTCACCCATTCACATTTTTTTTTTTTGCTGGGTTTTTTTTCTTCCTGTAAGTTTTCAGGTCATGATCAGACATTGCCATACACATATTCCATTTTTCCTTCATGTTTTGCTTGATTGGTCTATTCAAAGACACATTCAAATATTTGCAAAACTTTGTTAGTCCAAAATATAACTAAATATCTCTGTTTTTTTGGCTCTTTCTTTTTAATGGATTCAAAAAAGTGCACTCAAAACTGAAAACAAACCAGGTGAGAAAGAAAGATCATATAATAGTCCACCATGACATCTTTCCCAACAACCCATAGCCATAACTGTTAACCAGCTTCTTCCATCCAAAAAATTTTGGATGAACATGAACACCTTTTTTTAAAATATTTTTTGAGTGTATTTTTTTTCTTTTTAATCAAAAAAAAAAATTTTTTTTTTTTTATTGCAAAATTGCAATAATGACTGTATAATGGGTCTTGTTTTTTGGTTTTTTTTGTAATAGTCTTGGGTTATATAATAATAAAGAGTTTTGTTTGATAGAAACTCAAACATTAGTTTTGTAAAAAATTAAAATATTTTTCTATCTGGCCTAGTTCAAAGGAATTCTTTTTTAAGCATGTATATAACAAATTTATGAAACTTTACTATTTTGTCAATTATTGTCAGCTGGCATTCTCTGCACAATTTATGTTTTTGCATGCAAATGACAAACTTTCCCATTTCAAAAACAATAACATTTTCCTTCTGTTCCTATAAAGTTTTGAATGCCCTTTTCATTTGCTGATCTTCTAACCTTGTTCCTTATCATTTTCATAGTAAAATTAAACGATTCTGCCTGTACTCCTTTCATATACAACCCCCATTTTCATTTCCTCTTCAATTTCAGGCCTGTGTGGGGCTGGGTGGTGAATGTTACTGTTTCCTCTCTTCAGTGCCCGTAGGTTATTTTCCTGCAACTGCAAATAATGTATCATTTTTTTGTCTGTAGGCAAAGGGCCAAAATATTTGGCATCTGCTCTATTTCCATGCTCTTTAGCATAGTTTATTACATTTGATTGTATTTTTCACAGTGTAGCTTTTATTTTTTGCTGTTGTTATATCTGAACGAGTGAAATTCAGCCAAAAATGTTCCTTTATATGATCTGTACAATCTGTGTCTTGTAAATAGCCTAGTGGAATAATTATTTTATGAAATTCTGATTATATTTATGTCAATGAACCAGGATTTATAAATAATTTTTTTTTAATGAAACAAATATATTTTACAAATATATTATTTGAATTTATTGCTTATAATTTTAATTGAATTAAATACAAAGTAATAATATTCAACGTGATTAAAAATATAATGAATATTATCAATGATAACACTTTTTCTACATAATAAAAAGAAAATAATGACAATTATTATATTAAAGTTTTCTAAAACTAAGCTAGTAGGAGTTGCTAATAGCTAATTTTTGTTTTTTTAAATCTATTTGTATTTTAAATTTACATTGTGACATATAAGATAAAGGGGATTTTAAAAAAATATTTTTAGTAAAAAAAAATAAATAAATAAATAAATGTTCACCTTATATGCCATCAAATATGGTAACAGACGCGTATTTTCTTGGTTTCTCTGCTGCAAGACTTCAGATAGAATTCAGCCTGTTGTATTAGAAAATTCTGTTTATTGGCAAAATTCAAAAAAAGTTTCAAATTTATTTCTCATCCTACAAATATAAAGCAAATTAAAGGATCAAGTATTATGTTCTTTTTAAATATTTCATCTTATTAAAATCCCTTGCAATTCATACTTATTAATTTATTTGGATTTTAAGAGACAGGTGGGGGAGGAGTCTTTTTCACTATGAAAAGTGTGATGTTCTTCAATTTATTTTATTTTTATTTTTTCCAGAGAATGGAATGGTCTGGTGGTGGTATCTTCTTATGAAAATATTTTTCTTACCAACATTCTGAAGTATTCCTTGCCTTTGCAAAATGCTCAAAGAAATTATTAAACACCCTTAATAAAATATTTATCAAATTGTTTTTTTATTTTTCCTTTTTCATTTAAAAGGTGATAATTATGAATTATCGCTTTCCCATCTGCCCAATTGGAAATAGCTCTAAAACATTTCCTAAATCTAATGTTTGGCAATTCTTTTTAGATCAATTATGTTGAAGCTAAAGAATTGAACTAATTTAATTGAATAATGAAATTGATTGTGTCACAACATTGACAGTACAAAAATCTAACACTACTATAAATCCAATTTTTCTGTAAAAGACAATTACATAAAAAGAAATTAAATCATTTCAACTTTATCTGAATTGACCCCAAATTTAAGAAGGTCATTAAATAGTTCAGCTCCCTTTTCCTTAATGAAATTTATATTCTGTTTATATTAAAAGGGGAAAATATTTTAATGTGTTTATTAATCCGCTGTATCCAAGTTGTTTATTTGGAATGATATAAAAACTGAAGAAATTTGATAAGAACAGGGATATGATTTGCTTTAGAAAAGAATACAGCCCAACTGAATTGAAAAGTGATTTCTGTACTTATTCTATACCATGTCATTGGTTGTGGTATGATACAATTCCAAAGGAAATTGTTACCACCTGAAGTTTTCCAAACTGTGTAAAGGCTATCACAAACTTCTTACATGCCAAAACATTGGAGATAATTTTGACAGGAGATCAAGATTAACATAAGGTACCAAAGACAAAATTAGATTAAAATTATTCAGGTGTTGTCATTAATACATTCATTTTGACTTAGTATATTTCAGCTGTATTTTAATATCATCTCTGTGTTTTTGTTATTTAACATTAGAAATTGCTATTGTATTTTTATTTTTTTTTAATCATTTCACCCAAAGCAAGGCAATAAAGCCACTACAACACAAAGGGTTACTGAGTGTTGAATTGTTCACCTACAGTGCATATGATCCATTATTGTACATAATTAGGTTACAATAAATTTGTATTTTATATGAAAACTACCTTATGAAAATTGAGATGTTGAAGAGGTAGTGGAGGGGCATGTCATAGATTCAGGGGTTATAAAACAGTCCTGTAATCATAAAACCAGTCCTGTAAATAAATTTATAATTTTTCACACTAGTCAAACACCCATTCATTTTTTTTTTTTATCATTTCACTTTAAGCAAGGAAACAAAGCTACTAAGACTGTTACTGAGTGTGAGAGAATATGAGAAAAAGAAAACATTAAGGAGAGAGAACAATAAATGAACAGAAATTAAGATAGAAGATTATAATTGAAAATCCATTTAAAGTTTATAAGATCAAAGTTGACCAGAAAGCAAGAAGCCAAGAGAGAGTTCAATGAGTGAGAAATGTGAGTGAAGAAATTGTTATCATAGAACTTAGTTATATCTAGCCATTTCAACTGTAAAAAGATGATACCTTGCTGGTTATTTAGTACGGCGCTTAAATTTGTTAAGTATAGGTACCATAGAGGAAAATAATATTTATTTTGTTATACAAAAATGCGACACAAGGCCAAAGGAGGAGGGAGGGGAAACTCTGGTCTTCAATCTCTCTTAAACTGAGGTAGACACGATTACTAATCCAAACATACCACAGTATTCCTTACACCAAAACAACACATTCTTTGTTACCATTCTTAATACACCCACCACCATAAAACCTCAAAGTGTCTACGTAGTTCCAATTAGTTCTCATATATCCACTGAGGAAAGTTTGTACTATGAAAATATTTATAGAAAAGGCACAGGGAAGTTATGTTATGGTGATGGGAAAGTGACTGAGGGAGAGATGCCAGGTTAGGACATCATTGCATATTCTTGGGATTTTATCAAGAATCTATATATAGCAGGAGCACCAAAACAAATTTGGCAGCAATCCATTCAAAGCAAGTATTTATAAATATGTAAGATATATTCTTGAGAGAAAAAATGTCTAGCATGACACAGTGAACCAACTTTCTTAGATGTGGATTTAGGAATTGATTCAATATAATCTTTCCACTTCATCAGCAGAAAGCATTAGTCTGAAGTGATTTAAGACAACTTGAAAAGAAATTCATCTTATAAAATATTAACAATTTTAATCTACTTAATAAGTGGAATGAGTTTATGTCTAGTTGTATACATAGATTTTTCTCTTAAAATATTGTACTCCTAGATAATTTACTTTTCGTCTAAATTTAATTTTCTGTTCGCCTTCATTTTAGGGCATACTCCGATTAACTCCCTTTAATAATTCAAACGTCACTTTCCAAGATGCGTCCCCCCATTCAAATTTTAAATGTGCTTTAATTTCTTTTTTTTTTCTGCACTTAAACCCCAGTATTGCTTTTGTACTGTTTTAATTTTGAACTATGAATCAGCGTCCTTCTCATGAACATTTGTATATTTTTTTTTAAATAAACTAAGCTATATCTAGTGCCCGACGAGTTGGCTAACCAACGAAACTTACGTTGCACACCAAACGTAGGTATATGTATATTAATATGTATTTGTTAGCTTTGTCTAACCACATCGTGCACTATGTCTACACTTCTTGGTGAAATTTGGTAATTATTCATTTACCTGTGTTTGCACGCCAGCACGTGCCTATACGGTTGCTAATATCGAGTAATTTATGTAGTGGATTTAGGAAGGCTACGTGAATATTTAAGATTGTGCTGCAAATAAAATATGCAATATCCACAAACATAAATTATAAGAAATGGCCAAATGGTAACGATATTCAATCACGACAAAAATCTATGTTTGAAACAACAAATTAAATTTTATATACACAATTTACAATTTCTTTGTTTTTAATGATATGTGCAAAAGTATGTTTTAGAGGAAAAGTTCTTTGCTGTTTCGGAAATGTTCAATGTCTAAAAAGTTGTCTGCCTTTGATTAAAAAGGTTGAATTTAACTTAGACAAAAGATTTTTCTATTCAAGATATTAAGTGAAAAAGTTTGTGGTGTAAATTTTTCTAATCTCTCATAAGAAAATTTTTTTGTTTGGCGGCTATTTGACATAATTCCCGTGAGTATCTTTCGTGTGTGTGAATCTCAAATGCAACGAAAATTCGTTTGCTATTTCTATTTATAGTGTTTTTTAACAACCAAATCGACTCAACAGGGCTTGGTAGCTGTTGCGAATTTTTCCAAGAAATGCGTGGGCAAATGTATTCTTTATTTTTTTAGCCAATAGGATTTCATGAAACATTAAAATTTAGAATGAATTTGAGAAAGATTTTTTTACGTCGGCTGAGCCTACTTTTGCACAAATTTTGATTGTTTTGTTATGGAAATTTCTCGAAGCTTATTTTATATTTAACAACCAATGAAATTCAAGAAAATGTTTAAAATTGAAATTTACCCAAACTTGTGTGTGTGTTATATATATCAGCTGAGCTGAAAAATTTCAGTCCAAACTTACAAATAAGAACATCATAAGTGTTTTTAATTCCCTATTTTTAAGGTCATATAGCCTTGTGCTATCTTCATAAAATAAATATTGCCTTAAAGAACATCAAATTAATAAACAAGCTTTCGTTCCTCATTCTAATACCAGAAATTGGGTTAAATTAAGAATCTTGAAAAATTTCTAATTGTTTTATTCTTTTCAAGTTATATAGCTCTGTTAAAACTTCATGACTTAATCTTGACTTAAATTTTATTCTTCATCATGTATAAAAAAATTAATCAGGCCAAGTGTTTTTTTTTTATATCTCACATGAACAGTAAAAACATTTGAGGTAAACACGTGACGCCCACACAACAAAATTCATAACACCATAAAATGAACGCATGATTTCTAGTGGTCCAACCAATGAAAACAAAACAACATATAACATAAAAATCGAAACACCTCAACATTATTCCTTAAAAAAGAAAAACTTTCTGATGGAGTTAAATAACAGAATATGATAAAACTATAACTGGTTTTCTTAACTGGTCTTCATTTTGTCACGTTTTATTCCATATTTTCAACTCACTACTGTAAGTTGAGATCAAATGTGGTTCAGAATCCGTCAATGATAAGATAAAGAACAAATAGGAAATGTTTATCATTCTAAACACGTTTCACTTTTATTAAGTATTCATCAGAGACTGAAATATAGAGAAAAAGAAAAAATCTAGTATTTTATTTTTGTGTCGTTTGATTTTCATTGGTTAATCAAGATTCACAAGCATTCCACTTTTTAAACCAACGTTAATATTAATTTGTGGTGCTCCAATGTCAAGAAGAGACAGCGTATCCATTCAAAATTTAAAGAATTTAACGGATTCCAAGACCGAGAAACAAATTTGTTTTGCCCTCTTTACATCTTTCTATATTTTGGTTTCTTAAATAAATATAAGTTACAAATCATTTAAGATAGGCAACCATTTAAAATAGGTATCTCCACTGTTTAAGTGAATTAAAAAAATGAAAAATCTTTCTTGTAGCTTTTATTTTAGTTTTAATTTCAATCTATTAGATTCAATTTAATATTTCCAATAAGCATAATACCTTGATGTATTTCAAAACTAATTTAAATTGACTGGAAGGAGTTTTTGTTTTGGAATCTATAACATCTCTGCTTCTAACGCCATTTAACCTTTCGTCATGGTAATATTAAAAAATCTTTAAAAAATAATATACTTTTCTGAACCTTTATTTAAGGAATATTAGCTGATTTAAAGTTTAATTAATCTGATTTGAAACAAATATTACTTAATTTAAGTTTAAAATATTGCAGAAATGTATTTTTAACACGGCTGTCACTGGTGTTAACAGGTTGACACTTTTTAATGACAGACAAAAATTTATCTTTTTTTATAGGTGATATCTGTAAAATTAAAGGAATATAACGTGAGCGTCTTTTATATACTTTTAACTACCCAGTAATCTTCAAAATTTAGGAAAATATTCTCCGTAAATTTTTATGGAATTTAAGTACTTTGGCTTTAAATTTAC